TCTGTGGATAACTAAAGGGGAGAATGGGGTTATGGGCACAATTAGACTTAAAGGCAGATGCGGTTTTTAATGGTGTCCACAGACCTATCATCTTTCATATATTTTTGTCAGTCTTATAGTGTATACTTGACATAAGCTTTGCCAGTGTTGCAGCAATAACTAGGCTCAGAGAGTCCCAGCATGGGCTCAGCACTGTAATGATGTGCGAATCTAGTGAATTTGTTTTGATTTCTGTTGCCATGCTGTTGGAGGCATAATTAGAATTTAAATTGATTATGTGAGGGAGATAAGTAGGTTCAGATATTGATATGTTAGCAATATCAGACTGTACTCTGGAGATACCCAAAGAAGTCCTCAAAGAAGTCTTTTACATTATTTTCTTAGTGTGATTCATTGTGAAGGGAACCAAATTACACCTAGTGGAGAAACCTTGAAAAACCAATTTCCATGTATTACACTGTTGATGATATGGGATGTACTGTTTAGGTATTGCAATTGAAAGAGGTATTTGTATAATTGTATGCTAATTATTGATAATTTGAGAGTGCTGGTGCCCTAGGCTGGTGACGAGCAAAACTAGGCTTCTTCGGAAAGGGTTGTAGCTTAACTCACTGTGATAACTATTGCATGGTAATGTGATTTCTGTATTACTTATTGATCCTTTCATAATGGAGCTAATCTCTGGAAGAGTTAAAAGAACAAAGAATATATGTTCTGTCACCTTTCTCACCACCTCATGGGCTGGCAAGGGAAACTATGGCCATATTGTCCAAATGGTTTAACCATAAAGTTTCTTCAGATTCACAATTTTAATGACCACTTGCACATTATGGCAGTGGTTACCATGCCAATTCTTCTTCTTCTTCTTCTTCTTCTTCTTCTTCTTCTTCTTCTTCTTCTTTCTTCTTCTTCTTCTTCTTCTTCTTCTTCTTCTTCTTCTTTCTTCTTCTTCTTCTTCTTCTTCTTCTTCTTCTTCTTCTTCTTCTTCTTCTTCTTCTTCTTCTTCTTCTTCTTCTTCTTCTTCTTCTTCTTCTTCTTCTTCTTCTTCTTCTTCTTCTTCTTCTTCTTCAAGAAGAAGCTTAGTGATAATGATTAATCATCCCTTACATACTTTATCACAAAAGCATGCATTGCTTGCGTGTGACACTTCATTAATTTCAATTGTTCTGTGTGGAGAGAACGTGCCAATGTTACTATAGCTCCATCAGTGAGTTTGCACTCTTCTCCCTTGTATTGTTATTCTGAATGTACTGTATTTGCATCTTGATTTTTAAAGGTATTATTTTTGTTTCATTCCTGAATATTTGTTTTGAATGATGAACTATGATGATCTGAGTTTAAATGGTGTTCCAAGACTGTGGACAAGCCACTGAGGTTGAGCTTTGTGCTATTTGTTGATGTTCTAGTCTATTACAGATTTTTTTTCAGAGAGTATTGCACTTGTTTTATGTATTACTCAAGCTATTACTTTCATTTGGTGCAACAAAACTGCATCAGGAAACACCAGTAATACTATTTCTTAGTATATATACACACAAAGTGAATGTAGTTGTTGCTTTAAGAAAGTTTGGAATAGATTTGCTTTATAGGTATTGTTTATGGAAAACATCCTGCTTATTTTACAAGGTTGTTGAATATACATATAATACATATTTTTTTTAGGGAGAAAGGGGACTTCATTTCTTCTTGTTTTTTTCAAGTGCCTGTTTATTTTTTACCCCCATTCCTTTTATTTTCTGTTTCACGTTTCTCTTTTCTCTTGTGCTAATCATAGTATTTGGAACTGTTGTCTTTAGTCTGGTAGGTTTTTGTGCCTTTCATTCCCTAATAAGTTCACAAAATAGTGGGACATTGTCAGCCACTACAGGGGAACCTAGACCGAGTCCCTGCTGGTTCATTGTAGGATAACTTGACAACTTGCAGCAAGACCTGTACACGTTCACTGTGAGAATGGCATGTTGGGAGCTCCTCTTCTTGTTTGCAATGTTCCAGAAGAGGAGCCCTCATTCAGGTGTGGAAATGCCTCCATGTCATGATCAAGTTGCCTTTCCGTGCCTCACCCTTGGGGGGATTCATTATTATATTGAGATGGAACATGATGAGCGGTTGGCTGCATCATCACTGCAGTTATTATTTTGCGACAAATTCTCCTCAGCATTTTTGACTTGTTATGCATCTAAATAAGATTTTGTATGGATAATTGAATTGTAACTTCCATAGCCCCAGTATTGTATACAAAGGAGAATATAGTTATCACATGCTTATATTGTGTTTAGGATTGGCAAAGAACTGTATAAAACCATTGGTGATGCTTTAATACCAGCAGTGTTTGCTGGGCCGATGGTGCTGATCCTTCACACATTTTGTAGAGTATGAAATAAGGTGTGGTTGGTATAGAAGTCATATTTTATTTATTCATGTATTTTACTTTATCAGACTGATGGGTAACAAAGTACACGTGAATGAGAGAGGCTGGGATGATGAAATCAGTCTGATAAAGAATT